TTGTACCGAGCAATTTCATCGTTTTACACGCCTCTACAACCGGCCCTGCCAATATCTCATCCTCGCTTGTGGTCTATTAGATTTCCACTGGCTCCTAAAAGGTCACTGCAGCTGGCAATTCGTTTCTTGAAACGACGACAATTCACCCAAAAGGAAAACGACTTTTTTTTCAAACTGGTTTTTCTTTTGCTGACATACATCTACAGTTTGTGCTATTGTGTATTGTTACCCACCGACAATCAACAAATGAAAGCCAATTTATTACAAAAGAAAACAATTTTTTTTTTATAATTTTGTTATATTTTTTCACGCGCATATTTTTGGAGAAAATTATATATTTTTTTTTTAAAATTAGATGCGATTTCGAGGGAATTAATTTCCTTTTTGCGAAAGGAGGAATTTTTAAATCTCGCTTAATTCTAATCCTATATCAGTAGTAAAAGTCAATTTTGGTCAGACGTAACTTGAAAATAATTGAAATTTTAATATTAGTTAATCAGTTTGTCAGAGATTGTAATTTTTATAATTTAAGTAGTACAAATCAATTATAGTCAGACGACATTAATATTCTTGTAAAATTATGTTGTAAATTCTTGTAATTTTCAAATTACAATTCCAGTTAGATGAAAAAAGAATTTTTAGAATTAGAAAAAAAAATTAGTTTTATGTTAGGCAAAAAAATGTCTATTAATTGTAATATTTGTATAAGTAGTAAAAGATAATTTCAATTAGACATTAAAATTTTTCTTATAAATGAGTAGTAAATAACAGTTTTTGTCAGACAATATTTAAAATTCTTTTAGTTAACGTCAGATAAAAATTTTTTCGAAGTCTTCTAATTTTCTAGTTAGTAGTAGAAGTCAGTTTCAGTCAGACATTAAAATTCTTATAATCGTAATATTAGTAGTACATGGCATTTTTAGTCAGACGAAATTTTTCTTTATTTAGAATGAAAAAAGGAAAATAAAAAAATGATTTTTAGTCAGACGCAGCTCTTTCAAATTTTTGAAGTACTAAAAGCCAGTATACGCCAGACTCTTTAAATTCCCATAAATTTATTATTAGAGGTAAATGTAAACTTCGGCTAAATAAAATTTTAAATTCTTGTAAATTTCTAATGTTGCATCAGTAGTGAAAGTCAATTTTGGTCAGACATTGAAAATAATTGAAATTTTAGTATTAGTTAATCAGTTTCAGTCAGATTTTATAATCTTTATAATTTAAGTAGTATAAATCAATTACAGTCAGATAACATTTTTATTATTGTTAATTTGTTATCAATTCTAGTAATTTTCAAACGAGTAGTAATCGACAGTTTTAATCAGACCAGAATTCTCTTAATTGTTCTTAATTGAAGTATCAGTAGTAAAAAACAGTTTCAGCCAGACTTTAAAATCCTTGTTTTCCCATCAGTAGTAAAAATTAGTTCTGGAGTAAAAGTAAGTAAAAATTAGTAAAAATTACCTAATTTTCACATAAGTAGTAAAATACCAGTTTCAGTCAAACTACAAAAATATTATTTTCAGTAGTTTCAGTTAGTTTTCGTCAGACAATATTTTAAATTCTTTTGCGTCCTCCACTCTATATATATATACGCTAAGTAAATTTTAAAATGTAAAAAACCTGATTTATTGGACATCTATTCATGCTATTACCAAAATAAAATATTTTATTAAGGTTTCTACGAGAGTTAAAAGTGCAATTTCAGGATTGTATATATATATATATTGCATTGTGTTACCTATCGTAACTTTTAACCCCATGTGAACGTTTAGAGGAACGTTCAATGTAAAATAGCGTTTCTGTCGTGATAATAGCTCTTCAATTTTAGAGGACATAATAATAGTCGTCTCTCGTGCAATGCGAGAACATATTTTCTTCCCGGAAGTAGCTTTTGACTTTATTACCTAACTTTAATCACTTCAATTTTCCAATGGTTCTTTTTAATAAACATATATACGATCTGATAGAATCATCATCGTTAAAAAAAATAATAACCATCTTTTTTTTTTTTTGATACGATGGCAATAAATTCAAATCATAAAATAAAATATAAAAGGAATTGTTTACAGGGGTTTTTTCAATGGTGAATGTGTTTGTGTATTTTATTACGCGTGATTGTTTCGATCAGTGAAACAGTTTTGCATTCATTTAACATATATATATATATAGTCACAGTGTTTATGGTTAAGAGAACGATAATTAAACTTTCGATCGACTTGTTCTGTTAAATAACGAGAGATATTTGCTTTAATTTCAAACTTTGTTTTCAGAATCTGGTATTTATAATTAAGATTTAAATATTCAGTTTTCTTTGAATTGAAGTATGAATTTTTGATATTATCAATTTTGAATTTAAAAGTAAATTTTGGTTTTCTATTAATAAATTAAGGTCAATATTATCCATTTATAAATATTGTAAATCATATATAAATATTTTAGTATGATAAAAAGAGAAACTCTGTCAATTATTGAAATTAAAAGATTACGTTTTATTTCCATTAAAATAATCTGGTATTATTTTCGGTATGAAAAAACAGATTTTCTTTGTTTATACAGTTTTGCAAAGATGAGAGAGAGAGAGGGGGGTTATACTATGTGACGCTAACAAGCTAGTATGGTGCCTGTATAGAAAACTATTGTGCGCTTTGTGTTTTCCGAGAGCATATACTTGATAAAGTAGGATCAAAATGAAGTCCACATTATATAAAACAGGAGAGCATAAATTTTAACTTTTTTTTATTCTGAATACCAACACTAGTTTAACTCACGGTTTATGCTCACATTATATAGCTAAAAATAATAGGTATGTATCGAAATAATATGCACGATATAGTGTATTTGATATTTTTAAAAGCATCCATCTATCCATATAGTTGAAACAAAGAAAATAAGCCTTTAATGCCTTAAACATTAAAATCTTTCAAACAGAAAGGAAATACCTATTTTTTTTCAAATTTGTAGTAAAATACTAATTCATATAAAAAAACATGAGAGATTCCGCAATCTAAAAAAAATCTGTAAAAATGAGTAGAAATAGAAAAAAAAAAAGTTCGTTTAGATTCTATTTATCGAGCGATTTTGTGAGGCTCTTATTGCATGAGAAGTTGGACGAAAACCTGTTCACAGTCCAACGGCGACAGCATTACATTAGTTTTAGTAGAAATCGGATAGTTTCGAAGTTTGATGCCTTCTCCGATATTACTTTTCAACAGAATTTATTTTCGCCCCCCCCCTCCACCCCTTACCTAGTCTTCTTTTTTCTTGAAACCTTATATGGGATATCTTATCTTATACCGTGAGGCGTATAAAGTTTGCACTTGTCTATTGAGTTTTCCATGTTAAGGCAGCATACGGGTGATGACGCATCGAGCTAAAGTACTTACAAAGTTGAGACGTCGTAACGTTACGTACAAGTTAGATTTTCACTGAGTTTCCCCCAAGACTCAAATTGCTTTTGTACTGCCTCTTAGTCGTATTAAATTGTCAACATTTACTAATATTACTTTCAAAAATCTTTGTGAAACTTTCATGAAATGCGCTTAAGAATATTCCTGAGGAAAATTTTCCCTAAATGTTAGGGAAATTATTATTCAATTTTTTTGGTGTCATGGAATTAATTTCTAATTTAAAGTATATGGTGCTTAAGTTTCAAGTATTAATGTAAATATAATAATTCAAATGTTTTACATTTTCTTCTAGCTCCTAATTTAATTTTTTTTTGGTGAAACTTCCACGATCAGATTTTATTTTTATTTCCCGATTCAGTAGTAACAGACAATTACAGCCAGACGAAAAAAGAATTTTTAGAATTGGAAGTAAAAAATCCAATTTTGAGTTAAAGAAAAAAATTCTATTAATTGTAACTTTTGTATTAGTAGTAAAAGATAATTTTAATCAGACATTAGAATTTTTCTTGTAAATCAGTAGTAAGTAACAGTATTAGTAAGACAATATTTAAAATTCTTTTAATGTTACAAGTAGAAAAAGGTAGATTTAGTCAGACGAAGAAGTTGAAATTTTTTTAATTTTATGATTAGTGGCAAAAGTAAGTTTTAGTCAGACATAAGAATTCTACAAAATTTTAGTAGTAAAAGAAACGTTTAGTCAGACAAAAATACAAAATATTTGAAATTTTAGAGTTAGAAGTTAAAAGTAAATTTCTAAAATCAGTAGTAAAGGTCAATTTTAGTAAGACATAGGTTGAAAATTAAAATTTTAGTATAAGTAGTATCAACCCGTTTTTGTCAGACATTATAATTCTTGTAATTTAAGTAGTATAGATCAATTACAGTCAGACATTTTAAATTATTCTAAAATTTCTAATTTCCCATCAGTATAGTAAAAATTAATTATTTTTCAAAAATGTAAAAAGAACTTGTGTTATAATCTAGGCAAATAAAAAGCAATTTCACTCAATTATCACTCAACATAAAAGTACATAAATAAATATAAAAAACTGAATCGCAGTTTTTTTTAATATTCCATCTTGATGTTCGTAACGCAAAAACAGAAACGTATCTCTTGAGAGCAGTTTCACGATACTCTTTATCTTTTTTCTAATTAAAAATGCCACATTGCTGTGACGACTTTGTTTTTCAACTTGTTGAACTAATTTCAACGAGTTCTCAACTAGGAAACTAAAAATCACTTATAGATACAATCTTTGTTATCTAACAAAAATATTATCCCATTAGATTATTACTTAAAACTTTATCTTTGGTATATCAAAGTTACCTATCTTTTGGCGCGAAAATATAACTTTGGATACAATCCAAATTGAAAGCACTTAAACACTTAAGAGCTTTTAATTTTTAATTTCTTCTTCTTAAGTCTTGAAATTTTTAAAAGACTTATTTTTTTTGTTTGGGAAAAAATTGTTTTTTTAAAAATAATTTTTGTTGAATTATTTTTCTTGCGCATAGTTCGCGGGGTGTAAAAGTAAAAGGGGTATTGGTAAAAGTTAATTAGAAACAATTATGATTTAAATTTCTACTTACTAGTAGCGCTGACAGCCGGACCAATGACCGAGTACTTGGGGTTCCCCGTAACGCCTCCAGGGACGACCTTGTCCAACTCTGGAACACATTATAGTAATTATCCTCTGAATATACAGTGCCGTTAATTACGACAGGGAGTTGTGCGTGCAATACAACACAGCCAATTTACCTTAATACAAACGGACGCGTCTATGATTTATTGCATTATATGAATTTGAAATGGAATAATAGGCTTTACCAAATAACATATTATTATATTGAAGGATACAAAGTTGATTTATCATATTATATATTTCTCGCTTTCAAACTACCCCCCATCCCCTTTTTAACACTTCTCATCGCTAAGAATTGAGAGAGAGAGAGAGAGAGAGAGGAATCTAGTATACTTCCTTTTCCTGGAGGTGAGTATTATCAGAGATTTATGGCAAGTGTGATTCAATGCACCGAATGGACTGTTTTTTTTTTTTTTGCCAAACATGATTTATCGACAAAACCTAAAGTGTCGCCTGTTTTCAATTCCGAGAAAGTGCTATATATCAATTTATATTTTTCCTTCAAAATTTTTGCTGAACATTCAAATTTTATTTGGAGAAATAGTAAAATAGTTAGAAAGCAATTTATTCTATTGTAAAATATTTAATAAATTAAATAATTGAAATTTATTTTGATTAATAAAAATTTTTAAATTTTACTGTAGATTTATAGTAGAAATAAATTTTTGAATTTTGTTCGAAAACTTTTGTAACAGCAGTTGATATTTCGAAAAAAGAGAATTGCTTTATCACTTTAAGGTAATAGAAATTTTCCGATTGTAGGTAAAAGATAATTTTCTGATGGTAAAAATCCATGACCATTTCATGGAAAGGTAGAAAATGTTTTATCAACTTACCGACTTGCGGTAAGGAAGGTGTTTAAAGCTTCACGAAAGCTCTGCAGTGTGTCGCTATAATACATATTCCAAGCAATTCTCTGTTTAACCGACTGCGATATATAAAAATGTGAAGAATTTTTTATTTTCTAATCTAAAATTTCTTAAAATAACAAAAAATTACAATTAAAAATCTATTTAACATTAAATTAACTAATTTTTTTTTATTCTCAGCTCAATAATAATAATTTAATTAAATAAGAAATAATTCTACCTTCTTTTACCTTCGAAAAACAATTTTTATTTGAAATCAATTCAAGTGGAAATAACGCTACAATATATGAAGATTGAAAAAAAAACTAAAGGAAAATATATTGTAACTATCTTCAAGTTTAAAACCACTTTTTATATCTTTTAGATGGGAAAAAAAAGAAGAAAGACCCTTTTTTCACTTAATTTAATTTGAAACAATAAAATTTCCCAATGACCTTATAGGATATCCCTAAGTTCTTTTTCGATTTTAAAAAAAAAGAGAAGAGGGATTCAAACGTAATCGAATTTCTTCAAAGTCGAATTTGATAGCTCTTTAAAGGAAAAAGCTAATAATTTTCCTCCTTTTTTTTTACAGAGGTGTTAAATCTTTTATTGAAAAGAAAAAAAGTCTTTTTTTTCTCTTAATGCAATTCTTTTTCAACTAGTCATTCCTGATGGCCTGAAGCCAATTTACGTAACAGAAAACGATTCTTCTATTATTCCAGAGGGCTAAAAGGAAAAGAGAGGAACCTATATTCAAAAGACACTTTCTAACACGTTTTTATCCAAAGGAACGAAGCTCTTTCGATTTATTCATTTACTTTCCTTATATACATGTAATTTATATGCTAAAAATCTTATTACATATCCAACAAAAATTTAACTTTTCTTTTTTGTTCCTTTTAGATAGGGGGAAACAAAAATTCATTTTAGAATATAGAATACTACTTGAGTGATTATTTTTATGGGATATATGAAAAATTTATATTCTTTATAAATTATAATGAATTTTAGTAGTAGAAATAAGTTTTAGTCAGACTTGAAAATTCTTGTACATTTAATATTAAGTAGTATGAGTTAATTTTCGTCAGGAATTAATTTTTCAAAAAAATTTTAATAGAGGTGGAAATTAGTTTCAATGGGACGGAATATTTTTTATGTTTTATTATTTTTGTTCCAGTAGTAAAAATCAGTTTCAGTCAGACATAATTGTTCTTGTACATTTTATATTAAACTTTAGTACTATAATTAATTTTTGGTATATAGTGTTAGAGGTTCAGTATTCTTTTCAGTAGTAAAATTCAGTTTTAGCCAGACATTTTAATTCTTGTAAATTTAATAAGTAGTAATAGCCAATTTTAGTCAGACATGAATACTTTTTGCTTTATTTTAAAGCGTAATTTCCAAACAAGTAGTAATGTACAATTTCAGTCTGACACTATTTATCCTAATTATATACAATTCTAAGTAGTAAAAGACAGTTGCAGTCAGACACAAAGTTTCTTAATTCTTGTTAGTTTTCAGTGGTAGCAGTCAGTTAGTCAGACTCAAAGTTTCTTAAATCTTCTAAACTTGTTAGCAGTGGTAAAAGTAAGTTTCAGTCAGACAAATCTTGGTTTTTCAAATAAAAAATTCAACATCAGTAGTAATGGTCAATTTTAGTCAGACATTACTGGTAATTTCTCGATAATTCGTACACAGTAGAAAAAAAAATTGATTACGCTTTCAATTAGAGTATGAAATTTATCATTACCTGAATTTAATGCATCTTCCAAAGGTTGAAACTGGAATATCGCCTTAAAGCCCTGCCCGGGACGTTCTGAATTAGCGACGAACTCAACGTAGAGGTCAGACCCTGTGCTGAGCACCTCTACTTCCGCTCCTTCGTTGCATAGTACAGCTATTGTAGGTGCTCGAGAATCCCTTCCATCATGCACCCTGATTAAATCGGCCCTATTCAGACAACTGTAACAGGATGCTTTTCGTTAGTGACCGCACATTTACCGGATCCAATTGCATTGTAAATCAGTGATAATGGTCGTGGACGCATCTGAAACCTTGTACTTTGAATTCTCATGGGTGTTCATTTTCTCATCAAAGAAGTTAGTTAGTTTACTTCCGTTTATGGTGAATATTATTAATACTGCATTTAATTTTTTTGACAGATTCAAGTAAATTTTTTTTATATTGTGTAACTACTTTTGTAAGTATAAAGAATTTTTTTTTATTATATTATTTTCTTTATCAAGAATGAATAAAAGGAAAAATTATTTTCCATATTACGTTTAAAATAATTGTATAATATAGAAAAAAAATGTTAAATAACGTGAAAGCATTTGAAAATGAAATTATTTTTTCCACGTGAGTAATTCTAAATAAAGGGGGAATCACTTAAGGAGTCAATCATCTTTATTTCATTTTCGTTATTAAATAGAGAGAAAGAGAGTTAGATCTTTCTCACAGTATAGAAGTTTATGCAAGCAGTAGAAGAGATTAATTAATGAATATCGCTCTGTTGACTCAAATGCATTATTTAAGAGCACTTTCTCACTGATAGCAGCATCTTTACTCACTTTTTTTTTATTAAAAATTTATTGGCTCTTAACAAGTACTTACGTATAATTTTCCGTATTTTATCTCTTTTAAACTATAATTTTTTATAATAATAAATAAATATAATTTATTTTTTTTTTAATTATTAATTTTGATTTTTTTAAATTTATGAATTATAATTTATACTATAATATCAATTGTTATGTGTTATTTATATTTATATTGTTATTAGTTTTATAGAGGCATTATATTAAAAAAATATAATGATACCAAATTTTATGTAAGTATTATAATGTATGTCATATATAAAGTGAAATATATTTTTTTTTTTACTTTAACTTTTTTATTTAAGTATATATGGTTGATCCTAAAACTTTACGAGGCAGATGCTTAGTTTCATCTTATAAATCTTATTAGAAACTTTGAGTAATATGTCTCATCGCAGACACAATTTTTTTTTTACTCACAATTTTTTTTTTCTTTACCTCTACCTGCGGAATAATTGAGAAAACTTTATGACGGCGTGAAATTAATTTAAACATCGAGTGACAAAAGTTGACTGACTTTGTCTTTAAACTTTGTGGTGAAAACTTGAAACAATGCGCGCGCGCGAGCGCGTTTCACCACAATATGCTTGTTTCAATTTTAACTTTTGAAACAAAAGTTAAGCGAAAATCTATTATATGATGCGAAAAGACACAATTTTAATCTCTCGTATCTCTTTTCACAATTAGGAAATTTTGAATTTAGTGAAAAGAAAAAACAAAAAAAAAAAGAATATTAAAATTATTATTTTTTAAAATATAAAATTGAGTAAAATTTGGTATCAGTAGTAAAGCGCAATTTTAGTCAGACATAGTGGATTAATTGTGGTAATTCTAGCAGAAGGTAATAAAAAATTAATAGAGGCAATTTTTCTACATTTGGTTATTTTCAAGATTAAAAAAAATAATTTTCTAATCAGTAGTATAATACCGCTTTGGTCAGACACAAGTGTAGAAATTTTTACAAATATTGTATGGGGAAAAATATTTTACTTGCAAAGAAAGTAGCTAAATTTTTTCCCCAACTTTCCTTAGAAAAATTAAATCGCAAACAGTTCTTCAGTTTCAGTAGTAGTAATCGATTTTAGTCAGACATTGCAATTCAAATGCTATAAATATTTTAATCAAAGATCAATCGAATGAAGAGGATATTAATTTTCATAATCAGTAGTAAAAATAAGTTTTAGTCAGACAAGAACACTAAATAATTTTTAGAATAAAATAAAGCTGTATTTGAACCAATAATTTTTGTATTTAAAACAAATACTATAATTGACTTAAATAACAATTATTTAATACAAATAAATATATTTATTCGATAAATATTTAGTAATCGATTATATGAATCAAATAAATTTTTTTTCAGTGCACGAAAAAAATCTTAACTTATTACAGCGATAAGTTTTACTGAAACAGCGATATATTTCATCGAGCTAAAGTTTTTCCTATTTTAGTGAAACATATCGCTGTTCCAGATAAAAAATTTTTTTTCCGTAAACTAATATTTTTAAACCACTTTTGAAAATGTTCCTTGCGCGTGAAGTTATATAAATTTTTTTCCACCATTTTCCAAAATATTTTTCGTCATTTTTCAATGGGATTATAAATTGAAACCAATAGGGAGAATCGAAAATAGATAAATTACTGATTTTCTGCTTTAACAGATTATGCTTTAAGTAGAATGCTGGACATTTGCGCTGGTAGCCTACTAAATCGAGCGTTTCATCTTTCCGATAATACGAATGATGGTGAGAGAGAGAGAGAGAGAGCAAGTAAGTTTTCCTTCAGCTTGGATGCATTGAAGCGAAGGAAGGCTATATGAAGGTATAAAAGGGATCGGCAACTATTGACGCCAGGATCCTCCCTTTCCCCCCTCTCTTATTTTCTCCCTCCCTCCCCCCTTCGCTTTGTCACTGTAAAGTCTTTGCAATTTCACCTCCTTCCTCCCCCCCACCCCTCAATCGAATCTTTTTCTCACGCCATCTCTTTTTCTCTCCACAAGTCGTTGTCGTTTGGACGCAATACATTTGAAGTTGAACTTATATCTTACCTCCGGGTGAAGTTTAGAGAGCACGTAGAAGCTCTCACACGCTAACAAGAACGTCATTTACGCCAGTTTCTGTTTCAAGCAACTCGAGATACAATTCTTGATCCCTAAAGTCATGTCCGAAACAAGAGAAAAGTACCGAGAAACACTTGGCGCCATTTGCGCTCGTTGCTTAGCTTTTTACACTCGCGTATATGTGTAAGTATTTCTTTCTCTCCCCTATGTATGTGTTAGCGTACAAAATGCACTATTACTGTTGCCAATTCATATTTTTGCAACGTTTCTCACACAGACACTCGACAATTGTAAGATGAAAAAAAAAAACTATATGAAATTGCTCACCGAAAAGTTGTGTACAAGTTTTCAGGCTCTAAATGAATTTACTCCTTTTATGTGTATAATAAAATCTCAGCGCAACATATTGTTTATTACGAAATCTTAAAAAAAAAAAATTAGAAACTATTTTTTATTTCTTACAATTTTTATACTTTCTTATTTTTTTACTTCTCTTTTTTCTTAGAGTAAAAAGATCGTTACACTGACAATCGGATTGTTAATTCTAAGTAAACAAAAAAATTATATTAATATTTATTAATAAATTAATTTATTTATTTATCAATAATTATTATTCGTGTCAATTAAATGGTATTTATTTCAAATACAGAAATCATTTGTTTTAAGTTCAAATAAATATTTATTTGATAATAGTCAAATAGAAAACAAAAAAAAATTCTTTTTATTCAGAAGAAAAATATTTATCGTACGATTTTAACAATCAATTTAAATAAAAGTAATAATGAAAATGAAATGAAAATTATCTTCATTTCATAAATCAGTCGTATTATATATATTTTTTGAGAAAGTTTTTCCATTGATGATCATTCACAAAAGTGTCCAATCAATTTCTCTTATCAGGCGACTTTTTGAACTCCATTCCTCAGAGTGATGGAGATTCAAACGTGTGTGCTGAATAAGGGTAAAAATTTTAGATGACACAAAAGTTTTTAAAGATTGAAATTTAGTTTTAAAAATGAAATTTTAAAAAAATTTTCCAAAAAACAGATTTAATTCTAAAAAATAGTTCAATTTTTTTTTATTACTACAATTATTATTAATAAATTCCTAATGAATTGAACGTTATTTCTAGATAAGTGATTTGTAATAATATTCCAGGTTGTTAAAATTTTAATCAGCTTTGATAATATATGTTTGTGCGGTTATTCCCGAGATAAGCGACACGAATATGATAATTTGACGACATTATGAAAACATAATTTCAATGAAATACCGTGTTCAATTGTCCTCCTGTATTTTCACATCAAAGTGCAAACATTGATATGTTTTTTTTGCATTTATAATTTTTTGAAAAATTATTATTATTTCATACGAATGAAAATGTCTACCATTTTTTTTATTTAAAGAATAACAAAAAAGAAATTTTTTCTTTAGCAAAATTTTTGCTTTAAAAATTCAGAAAATCGAAAATTGAGAAAAAGTTAACAAACATCTAAATAAAATAAATAATAAATGAAATTTTGTATAATAAACAATAATGAAAAAAAAAAATTTGTATTGTGACGTAACACAAAAAAGCACTTTCCTTAAGATTTGAAACTCTGTCAAGCGGTACTGATGCTGCAGATGGAAAAGTAGGAAGTAAAATCCTTTAAAGTTGAGTGTGAAAATTCTCTACACTTTTGTTCGTTTCGTTTTCTGATCTTTCCAAAAGCAATGACCTCATTTCATAACTTTTACAAGGCTTCTTTTAATACATTTTTTCAAACAGTAAAAAAAAACTTTCTCTGGCAACTGATTTCTCCTTGAAATTATTTTTTAATAAAGAAAAATTTATAGCGTAAATTTGTTTCGCAAAAAAAAAAAAAATTTTTTGTATTTGTAGATTAAGATATTTTTCATTTGTGTCAACATTTTGTAGGAAGTTACTTAAGGCTAAAATATGGAAGAGAATTAAGGTATTTTACCCCTCATACGTATATATAATTCATCAACGTCATTCACTTCAATTTTCGACTTCCTCATTACGCAAAAGAGCTTTCATATATATTATGATGTTCTAATGGAAAATGGGACATTTATCTTAAATTCAACTTCCTGCCATGTTGATTACATAATCTCCGCAAACAGATTTCCGGATGTCCGCGACATGACCTCTCTTCCCTAAAATCGTGGTTATATTTTACAAAAGTTTGTTGGAATTGAAAGCATTAAAGTTCTCCTACTAGAAATGTCATCCATTTATATTTATCTAATTATTTTCATTCAAAGCAAATTATTATACATTCCGCAAACATAATAAATTT